GTGTGTGTGTGTGTGTGTTGTGTGTGTGTGTGTGTGTGTGTGTGTGTGTGTGTGTGTGTTTCTTTGTATATGTGTTTCTGTATGATCTGTACACTGTACCTCGTGAACAGCAAGGTATGGTGAACCAATTATGTACCACGACGGTGAACTCAAAATATATATTTACATTTGTTGCTACATGTCGCAGGTTTCTTGTATTAGAAGTCAGTTGAATAGGTAATTTACACTTGTCCTCACTAGCGTCAACCAGGATGCACGTATATATGTATATATGTTGATCACTTTGTGTATATAAAATGCACGCATTTTTTGTAATTGTATGTATATGTTTTCCATGTCCGTGTCTGTGCGCAAAAGAATGTATCATTGTCCGTGGATATTTTTACAGTATTCTTAACAAGCCGTTGCATACGCACTTGCAATCACAGTTCCAGCTCGCAATCACAATCTCAGAGTGGATACTTGCAAATACCTTGCGTGCATCTGTGCTTCTATGCAATATAAGTATGCATACGCCTTTGTGCTTTAGTCCTACATAGAAATGCATACATTGTGAATACACTGTGATACCACTGTTATCACAAAATAAGAAAGAATGGGTAGATGCATCTAAACTCCACACTTTAACATGTGTTAAAGGGTGAACACTGATCATATTGGGCTTCAAATTGGACAGTCGGTTTATTGCTAACATTTAAGCTATCAAGTATCAATTGACCAAGTATAGCACGTGCTGGGTGCTAGGTCACAAGCACGCGGTATGTTGCGAGATGGCCAACTGCATGTCTGCATTCGGTTCTGTACAGCGCACAGCCGACGACTACCCTTCCGTCCAGCATGAGATACACAGCACTACACAATGCACAATTCAGAAACAGAGTTAGACACACTTACTAAACCCTTATCAAAGATGCAGACACTCGCAACGGGAACGCATGCAAACCTATACTACAATGAGAACACATGCAAACCTTGCGCTAGAATACCTACAGACTTATAAAGTTGGTGTATGCGTTGATAGAGCTCGTTACCTAATTTCTTGTACGTGAGGGTGGTGCTAATAAGCACCAGGTAGTTTGTTTTTTTCATGTCACAACTACAGACCGTTTCCGACTGCTCGTTAGACATATTATTTCGAAGCTGATTGGGCCCAGAACATCGCACATTTATCGGTTGGAGGTGTACTTGGTAACGGCCTTGGTTCCCTCAGAGACGGCGTGCTTGGCCAACTCTCCGGGAAGCAGCAGACGCACAGCAGTCTGAATCTCTCTGGAAGAGATGGTAGACTTCTTGTTGTACTTGGCAAGCTTGGAAGCCTCGCCAGCTACACGCTCAAACACGTCAATAACGAACGAGTTCATGATAGACATGGCCTTGGAGGAGATACCGGTATCGGGGTGGACCTGCTTCAACACCTTGTAGATGTAGATGGCGTAGGACTCAGTGCGTTTCTTCTTGCGCTTGCCACCGACAGACTTCTTACCGGACTTCTTGGAAGCGGGCGCTGCGGCACCGCTTGAGGGTACTTTGGGAGGCATAGTGATATGTTTTCTGTGTATAACAAAGAAAAGTGTGGTGAGCTGTGAACGTTCGAGCTTGTATATATACAAATTCTCGCCTCTTAAATTGGCCAATAAAAACGTGTATGGCCTGAATTTCGAGCCGATGGAGCCGTTCAGTTCTGAAGAATATTCAGATTTCACCGACAGCTGGGCCTGGTCTTAGTAGCACTCTGTTTATTGAAAAAAGAATATCTTAACTGATATGTAAATAGTTACCAGATAACGTCGGTTTGAACTCCAACAGTTAACGTAGAACGTAAACGCAAATAATAAGTGATTTTTTACGTTTAAACGTAAACAATTTGCAGCTCACAGGAATTGGGCTGGGACTATTTTAGCTTAAACGTTTAACTTCGCAAAAACGAATGATTTCAAACCGTAGTACGTTTTAGTATGACTGTCGACTGGTGAGAATTACATACATACTCAATTTATGAAACTGCTTTCGGTTAGACCGGCCATGAACTACGCGCGCAATTGAGAGTAAGGTCACTCTGGAATATAACTTTAAAACTCCGCTAGTATAAATAGCAAACCACCCACTGTCAATAATCTCATACTGTCTACCTTCACAAGTAAATATAAACATCTCACATCATGACAGGCAGAGGAAAAGGAGGAAAGGGACTAGGAAAGGGCGGTGCCAAGCGTCACCGTAAGATTTTACGTGATAACATTCAGGGTATTACTAAGCCTGCTATCCGTCGTCTGGCTCGCCGTGGCGGTGTCAAGCGTATCTCCGGTCTTATCTACGAAGAGACCCGTGGTGTGTTAAAGGTCTTCTTAGAGAACATCATCCGTGACGCTGTTACCTACACCGAGCACGCCAAGCGCAAGACTGTAACTGCTATGGATGTTGTCTACGCCCTTAAGCGCCAAGGCCGCACCCTATATGGATTCGGAGGTTAAATTTTTAACACCATCGTCGTCGCTCTCATACTACAAAACTGGTGCATATTTGCACCACCCTTTTGAACTTGAAATTATCTATAGAATTCACTTTCGAATCATATATATGTATATAATGGATATATGTATGCTAACTGTTGAAGATATATGTAGCGGTTAAATGTTATAGATTAAAGTTTGTTATATCTTGAATTTTATTGTTACCTTGAATACTGTGAAGTGTCACTCTTATCGATTCGTTTGCCGTTTTTCATGCACAGGGCAGCCTTTATTTTCAAACCAATATTTCATTGTCATATGATACCTAGTCTAAATCGGGGATTATGAGAGTGTGCGCCCATCACTACACTAAAAATTTAACGTAGTAACCTTCCAAATTGGTCAAGGCTATATCACCACACTGAAGATTTAACGTAGTAACTTTCCAAAATGGTCAAGGCTATATCACCACACTGAAGATTTAACGTTGTAACTTTCCAAATTGGTCAAGGCTATAGCTGTCTAATTTAGAGATATAGTTTTTTGATAAGACAATTTCAAATTGTACAAGTTGTTTTGACTGGAGTGTCATTCAACCTGCTGGCTCTAGTAGGTGTCACCTGTTGTGTAGTATGCATTATAAATTTGAATTTGTAGGAAACAGTATAGCTTTATGATTGCATTTGCATGTGTGATACGGCTATAGAATCAGATGCACAGCCGGGTTGCTATTTAGGTGTTTTCTTTTGTCTAGTATACGTTGATATTTAGGAGTGCGATCCGTAGCACACTGACACACGTGTAATTTGCAATGTCTTTGCAAATTCTTCACAAATCCCTAGCCTATAAATGTAATAAGTAATGATCGTGCTGAACAGCATTTCGAAGCCGTGCTTTCACACCTACTGCAGGTATATACAGCACAATAAAGTTGGCCATCACTACGTGCCATTTTGATCTCTCTACTGCACACTGCGAAAACCTGCCACCCCGGGTGGCGCTATAGGTGAGTTCCCAATTGCATTCTGATTGTTTCTCAATACAGGTGTAGTGGCGTCTGGTAGCATATAGGTCCTTCTATACTCTACGTTTTCAAATTGTGATATTATATTCGAGCACAAGTAAATCCACAACAATAATTATAAGGTCACTTTACAATTGTGACACCATTGAAGTAGGTAAGTGAGACTCGTTCACTCCGTCAAAACGACTCATATACATTCACCTTTAGTCAACAAATAGGTCATATCAAATATATCAAATACACATCAAAGACATAGCCCTGATGATAATCAACCATTGTAATTATAGGTAGACGAGAGCCGAAATAAACTATNTAAAACAAAAACTATTTCTG